GCAGGCTCCAGGCTCTGAGCTGTCAGCACAGAGCCTGACATGGGGCTTGAACTCACTAACTGTGAGATCATGAGCCGAGCCGAAGTCAGAAGCTCAACCGCTCAACCGACTGAGCCACCCAGGCGCCCCCTGCATTGACAAAACTTTAATTCTTGTTGCCCTCCACCTTTAACACAAGGAAATTGAATCTACAAACTTTAGGAGGAGTTCAGTGGCAGAGTGAAGAAACTGACAAATCTACTATGTTCTGAAGTGGGGGGCGCTTTCCCTGAACAGATCAAGAACTCTGTAGAAACCTCTCAAAGCCTTCACGCCCACTGCCGACTGGAAACAGGTATCTTTTTCTACCGCTGCCCTGGTTGAAATCTGCAGAAGGGGGAGAAAATGCAGTGATGATAATGATGATGGGGAGGAAGAGAACAAGAATGATAGCAGCTATCATTACTGAATGTCTGTTTTGTTCCAGATACTTTAACCTAATTTTCTGTCCTTCTCACCAAACCCCTGCAAAGTGAGTTTTTATTAAAAAAAAATTTTTTTTAACGTTCATTCCTTTTTGACAGATAGAGACAAGGCGTGAGCAGGGGAGGGGCAGAGAGAGAGGGAGACAGAATCCGAAGCAGGCTCCAGGCTCTGAGCTGTCAGCACAGAGCTCAATGCGGGGCTCGAACCCACGAACGTCGAGATCATGACCAGAGCCAAAGTCGGAAGCCCAACCAACTGAGCCACCCAGGTGCCCCCAAAGTGTGCTTTTATTACTGCTGGTGAGGGACCCGAGCTCAACGATAACCTATCATTGGCCCCAAATGACACATCTTGTACCTGGCTGAATCAGGTCCACAGGTGGAGCTGTCTCAATAGCATGCTGTCAACCACAGAAATTTGTATCTCCTTTCTGGCACTTTCCAAACGTTACTCCACTCCTCTTTTTGGTCGGGGAAATGAAACACTGTCCCTCCTTAACCAAATATGTATTGCAATTGTCATAATCATAATAGCAAAGCACTCTCACACTCCTTATTCCCACTGATCATCACAAAAAGCCCACGAGGCACGTCTCACTGTCACCCTGAAAACTGAAACTTGCGGGGCGCACGTCACTCGCCAAAGACCACACAGCTACTGGGGCTAGAGCCCGTAATTTAACTCCACCTACGCTTTCCTCGTGCCCCGGGGTCTCTCCAAGGATTTTTGTAGAACAGATAGCAGTTTCCAAAGGATGCTGATGCAGATTATTCCATTTGAGTTTCTTGGTGCCTCTGGACAGAAACGTGTTCTACATTGTGAATTTTGTAAGATTTCTTAGGATTTATCCAGAAGTGGACTGCTGCTTCTTGTGATATGATGTGAGATCTTTTTAGAAGTCTACCTTCTCTGTTTGGCCCACACCACGTGAATGTGGTTCCAAAATGAGTGCCAACAAATATGTTTTAGAAAAGAAAATATGGGTCGATAAGCAAAAATGCCAGTCTCTTCTGCCCCATCGAGGCATTGAGAATATCAGAAAGATCATGTAGGCTGTCTTGAGTCCTTCCCTTCGGCCCATCCCTAGAATAGGGACAAGGCTCTGGTAGTTTTTCCCTCTCCCTTCTGAAGTGTAGCCCAAGTATTTAGCTGTTGAGGAATATAAATATGACTCGAACCCAGGCCTCTGACGTGAAAGCCGGTATTCCCTCCCGGTGGGTTATACAGCCATCCTGGGCTCTGTACGTTAGTCCTTCCGGCTTCTCCCCACAACACTCTTTCTGGGAGACATGGCACCCACCTCCTGGGATTCCACTCCCCCGGCCCCTGATAAGTATGCATTCATGGTTCATGACCCAGCTCAAATGTTACTTCTTTAAGGACATCTTTATTATTTAAAAAAAATTTTTTTTTTAACATTTATTCATTTTTGAGAGTGAGAGAGACAGAGCATGAGCAAGGGAGGGGCAGAGAGAGAGGGAGACACGGAATTGGAAACAGGCTCCAGGCTCTGAGCTGTCTGCACAGGGCCCGACGCGAGGCTCGAACTCCCGGAGTGAGAGATCATGATGAGCCGAAGTCGGATGCTCAACCGACTGAGCCACCCAGGCGCCCCAAGAACATCTTTAATGAAATCTTTAATTTCTTTCATAACAGCCACCACTAATTCTACGCTAGGGACTGTGCTAGCGTTGTGGCGAAAACACGGTAAGAACAACAGTTTCTGGCCCCAAAAAGCAATAGTCGAGCGGAGAAGACAGATAATTAAGCCAATAGCAACGTGATAAATGGCAAAGGAAGAGAAACCGAGAAGCCGAGGCCAGCACCATTGGCCGAGGTCTCGTGTGATCAGAACTGAAAAGCTGAAATCATGACGATAGTACCCAGGCCAAATCAGATCCTCCAAATGACCTGGCTCAGCAGAGCGACCATGCCGTTTCCTGCTCCTGAGAATGTTGGGAGCCCGGTAATGCCAGCCTGATGGGGATTATTTTAATGAGCCATGCATAGAGCTAAATCTGACGGTGCCTCGGAGGTGACCCGACTCTGATGCAGGTTCGAATCTGGTGGGTTAGGCCTCTCCCCACGCTTGTGTTCACAGCCACCTGATCTCCCTCGTATATTCCCACCTCTCTTCGTGACACAGGGTCCGCCTCATGCCTGAGTTAGCTTCACTTCCCATGGCGAAGACCCACTTGGGGACCTCACCTCCCGGAGAGCCCTCATCACCAAGGGCAGTGATGGTCACCAGGCCGCTGCGAACAGTCACTGGCAGGCCACCACGTGAGCCTACGTTAGCACCACTGGCAACTCTTTCACCACCAGGGTGGCGGAACCAACGGAACATTCCACCATTGCATACCCCTTTTCCCTTCCGTTTCCCACAGCCTGTTGCCGCTGAAACTTCACACCTGGTACCACACCTGTTACACTCAGCATCTATTGTGGGCGAAGGATATTAGGCACCTCACTTAAACCTCTTGACCCCCAAGATCCCCATCTGTGTAGCAGGGATGATGTTCCTGACTTGATAAAAATTAGCCCGGACGAGCCGTCAAGAGTGTTTCCGACCTCTTTCGCCATGTTGTCTCCACTGCCCGTGTGACATCAGCATCCACCGCTCAGAGCAGGATCAGTTGTGTACGTCCCATCTGTCTCCTCCTCGTCTTTAAGCCTAAGAAGGAGCACACCTAATCGGTACCTCTCGCGAACCTTGAAAACAATAGATGACAAACACGTAAACAAATTGTGAAGGTTTGAAGCGAAGGAAATACAATCTTCCGTGTCCTTAAATCATCCCTGCTGTTCTATTTCAATACTCGTTTCTCTCCGGGCTGCGAAGACCGTTTTAAGATGTGTAGTCAGAGTGAGGTTGTTCCTGACCGTGTTCGTGTGCAGCTGGGAAATCGGTCCCCCTCGCATCTGGCTCTGACTTAATAGCCAACAATAGCCTCTTCACGGTCAGAATGGGAGCCACAGGTCCTGCAGCAGATTCGGGGTTGGGAACTCAGGAAGGCTGTGTCACTGCTATGTGACCTTGATAGGCTTTTTCCTTTTTCGTGATGTCTACTACCTGTTCTCGCTTTCTTCTGCACGGTTCCCATGTAGGGACATGAAGACTTGGTCTGGGAGAAAGACTGCCAGGGGTTTGAAATTCTCCTGACAATTTTTCTTCGTGTCATGGCTTCATTCCCTTTGGCCAGCCAGTTAAGCATTTAATAAACAGTTACTGAGCGTGTGTTTTTTTTTGCAAAGAACAGTGTCCATATAAGGAAGAAAAGAGGAGCTAGTAATTCATAAGATGTACCTACTTACAAAAATCCCTTATCCTTGAGAAGGATTTCTCTTATATGCGTTCCCGTTATGGAGTTGGCATCCAAGATAGGGTAACATACATTTTATATACATCTTCTATAATTTTAAGATACTTAAAATTCTTTTAATGGTTATTTATTTTTGAGACAGAGACAGAGAGGGGGCACAAGTGGGGAGGGGCAGAGAGAGAGGGAGACACAGAATTTGAAGCAGGCTGTCAGCACAGAGCCTGACGCGGGGCTCGAACTCACGAGCCGTGGGATTATGACCTGAGCTGGAGTCGGATGCTGAACCACCTAAACCACCCGGGTGCCCCTAACATTAAGACTCTTAAGCCTACACAATGAGGAAGCTGGGCACAATCATCTCGAAAACCTCTTCCAGTTCTAGGAGACTAGCAGACCCTCTATCGGAATCAGGGATCACCCACGAACTAAACAATCCACGCCTAACACTGAAATTTGCTTCAAGGAAGATTCACCCACACATCGCTGGTTTTGCTCAGGCCCACAGTTGTTCCAGACCTAAGGATGGTAATTATGAAGCATGATGACCAAGCATTATGATCATGTCGACACGTGGTCAGTGAATCAAACCGAACTGGGAATTTAGTCATGATTGATTTTCTTGGCATCCTGCTAGGTGATGACTGTTTTATAGGAGCAAATGAGTGGTTTTGTGAGTGGTGGTGCCATGTATCTCCGGCCAAACTGGTGACTGTGTCTGCCACCTGGGGTTTTGATGGCAGGAAGCTGGGTCCTGGTGTCCGGCCAGCTGACTCAGCCACAGCCTGGCCCTGGAGCCAATGGGAGTCCCCAGAAGACTACCAAATCTTCCCTTCAGTCTGACCTGCGAGGGTCTCCGAAAAACCTGGGCTAGGTTCCCCGTGTCATTCTGCTTTCCAGCTGAATGATCTTGGGGAAAAAGTGGCTTCGTGTGATTTCTCTTGGTCCGTTTCTCCATTTGTAATATGAGGAAAATATATCTCTTTCACAGGGTGGTTGTGAGAATTATACGAAATTGAAAACTCCTAAACCATGGGGAGGGGCTCTGGGAACCCCTATTTTCCGTTCGCTTCGTCATCCTTTATCAGCTCTAGAGCTGGCGTGTAAGTTTAATTGCAACAATGATTCGCCGGGGCCAAAACATACCCGCCCCCCGCCCCCGCTAAATCTGACCCTCCACCTACTCTGCTGCACCCACACAGCTGAACCTGCAGGAGAAAAGCACCGTCATGATGCCTGACTTTAGACTCATGGCCGCAAAGCACAAATGGGTTCCTGGCTGGCTGGCTGGCTGGTGGGACAGTGCAATCACTCTTCTGCTCCGTGACAATCGCCTGCCTTCCCTTCTCCCCAGTTTCATTCTGGGCTAAGGATCTCCTTCCCATCCAACAGGAAAATTGAGGTGAGTAGGGGACAGCTTCCACAAGGCCCCTCCACTGCACCTGTGTGTATATGGTATGTGCCTACGAGGGTACCTGTGCTCACAGCTGCCACCTGCCTTTTTGTCTGTGTGGATGAACTCTCCTCGCTGCATCCATGGCCTCCCGGGCGTAAACTTCCATCCCTCCTTGTTGATTCCCCCTGCAAGCCTCCCCTCTTTCTTTTGCATCAACAGATTTTGCTCTCTATTGGATTTTTCCTCAACATAAACATGTTTTTTTCCCCCTCCCATCCAAAAACAAAGACTGTTCCACTTCACTTCTCCCTCAGGCAGGACCCCACTCCTTGCTTGCAAAATTCACTTAAACATTTGTCTTGTCCTTACTGTCTCGGGTGTTTTCTTCTAGTCTCTCTTAAACTCCCTGGAGTCAGGCTTCCCACTCCACCACCGCCCTAAAGTGACTCCTGTCATGGTTACCGATGAGCTCTGTGTTAGTCTAGGAGTTATTTTGTAATCTTCTTGTCTGGTCTACCAACAGCGTTTAATACCGTTGGTCACTTGGTCATTTCCTTTTCTGAGAATGACTTTCCCCTCTGCTTTGCTTCTGCGTCTCTTGGATTTTCTCCAGCCTCACTATCACTCTTTCGTCTCTTTACTTGTTTGTCCTTACTTCCTCAAACACTTAGGAGCACCGGTCGTACGGCAGCTTTATCTTCCCAGACGCCGAGGCCAAATATTTTGGGGTCACCTGTGACTCCTGTCTTTCTCTCATTTCCTGCATCTAATCCACCTGTAAATTCTCTTGGTTCTACCTACAAATGGATTCAGAATCGGACCTCTCAACATCTAGGCTGCCGCCTTCCCGTCCAAGCCACCATCTTGTCCTCTATGAATTATTGTAATCATCTAACTGAGCTTCCTGCTGCTTCTGTCCCCTACCATCTCGTCTCATTGGAATGGCCCAAGCCACTCTGGTAAGGTGGATGACGGGCCATCTCATATTTCTTCCACGTGGTCCAATGGCTCCCACTTCATTCAGAGCAAAATCCAGAGTCCTTAAAATGGTCTGCAAAGCCCTGCATGATGGGAATCTCAGCTGGTTGGGATCCCTGGTGCCTCCCGTGTTGTCAGGCCCAGTGATTTGTTCTTGGCCCTCGCCCTGACTTTATGTGCTGACCATATTTGACTCAATTGATCATCTACCCTTCCCTCCTTTTTTTAAATGCTTTCTCCATTTGTCTTTTGAAATCCTGGTTTGAAATACTTGGTTTTGAAAACACTGGTTTTGAAATACTTGATTTACTGCTGACATCACTGGCCTGCTTCAGATGAACTCGCCTTGCATCATCCTTTTTCTAGCTTCCAAATGTTGTGTACCAGGGCTTATACCTGAGTGTTTTCGTTCCTCTCACTTATTCCCTATTCCCACGCCTTTCAATATCATCTGTATGTTAATGCCCGTGAAGTTCATGGCTACAGCACTGGGCTCCAGGTTTGTTCATCCTGTTTCTATCCTACACCTCTCTTCTATTGTACCTTTAGGCGTCCAAAGTCAACTCAAAGTCAATATATACAAAAGGCAGCTTTATTTTCAACCCTACATCTATTACTATCTTCAAGTTTTCCCATCTTAGGAAACATGCCATTTTCTTCGTGGTTGCTTAGGCTAAAGACCAGGGAGATTTTTGCTCCATCTTTTTTTCTTATCGTACCTCCAAACCCATCAGCAACTACTGTTGAGTCTGTATTTGAAATACATCATGAAATCTGACATGTTTAAAGAGGGGGAAGGGGTGCGCCTGGGTGGCGCAGTCGGTTAAGCGTCCGACTTCAGCCAGGTCACGATCTCGCGGTCCGGGAGTTCGAGCCCCGCGTCAGGCTCTGGGCTGATGGCTCAGAGCCTGGAGCCTGTTTCCGATTCTGTGTCTCCCTCTCTCTCTGCCTCTCCCCCGTTCATGCTCTGTCTCTCTCTGTCCCAAAAATAAATAAACGTTGAAAAAAAATAAAATTAAAAAAAAAATAAAGAGGGGGAAGAAAGGATGAGTGGATAGATGGGTGGATATGGGCCTAACTTTTAATCTCCTTCTATTCTTCTGGGAATTATTCTAAAGGAACTCTTTAGAATATAAATGGAGGGCCGGTTTTCTGGAATGTCCCACATCAATTCAGTAGGTTCCACTGTATACAGTAGGCGCCCAACTAATATTCATTAATTTCAGAAAAAAAGCATTATCAAGCCGTAAGATAAGTAGACCATCTAATACAATTTTCCCTAAATGGCTCAACTGTTTCACAAATATGCTAAAATAATAAAACCCCATCAATTTAGAGAAATATACAACTATGCCCATCTTAAAGCCAGGGAAAATGAAACACTGAAAAGTAATGTAAGTTGCACAAAGTATGGTAATGAGTCACTTAGTTATAAAAGGTAAGAGTGGGAGTAAGTAGACCAGTTAGGAGGCAATTTTAACAATCTAGGCAAAATATAAGAAATTTTCACTTATAGCATAGATATGTTTGGGGTAAAGACGTCTACAAAGCAGATATATTTGCAGATATATTTGCAGATATCAAAGCAAAAAGTATTACATTTTATCTCTGAGGTCTATTATCCAACTAGAAGCATGTATTCTAATAGATTTTCTGGGCAGTCACATCTCACATTCCTTCTCTGTTATGACAAAGTAATGAGGGAACACAATGTACAGATTTCACCTCAGGCAGCAGATTTTATGGCTAGATTTCATAGTTGGTTCCGAAGTTATTTATTCACATTTTGATCCAGGATCTTAGCTATTTCACCTGTGTGGGTTTCCATTTCCTTATCTATAAAAGTGAAGATTTCAGAATGGAAAGGTATAAGCTTGGAAGGGTACTTTAATCTTTTTGGGTTTTAGTTTCCTCACCTGTAAAATAGGGTCTATTGAAAATCCCTTGGCACCCCCTGCCTGCCAAAGAAATCAGAGGAAGGGAAACAAGGCTAAATGAATAGTACTTAAATAACAGTTACATCTACTGCATGTTGAAAATTGTATTGGGGTGCTTTGGGGGAAATTTGAGTACAATGAACAGAACAGTTTCTATGGCAGTGACTTTTGAGTCTCTAATGTGGTCCTGTACCCTGTAAATGACAAAGTAGGAGATACAAAATGCAGTATTGCTCACATTCATTGGATCAGATAATTTTCTTTTCCTGTAACACAGATTAATTTCTTTAAAAAAAACTTTTTTTTTTAATGTTTATTTATTTCTGAGACAGAGAGAGACAGCGCGAGCAAGGGAGGGGCAGAGAGAGAGGGGGGGACACAGAATCCGAAGCAGGCTCCAGGCTCTGAGCTGTCAGCACAGAGCCCGACGCGGGGCTGGAACCCACGAACTGTGAGGTCATGGCCTGAGCCGAAGTCGGACACTCAACCGACCAAGCCACCCAGGCGCCCCTAACACAGATTAATTTCTTAAGACACATTAGTTTTTTGTGGAAAACAATTTGGAAAATTGTCCATAGTTAACTACTTCCTAAATGTATATTCTCAATCTCCAAATGGTTCTGTTCTTTAGCACAGTTACCCGTGTTTCAATTCAATGTGATCTTACGTCTACGTCTTCCGACATCATGAGAAAGTACTCTCTGATTCATTATATAAGGTGGTCTAGCTTGAGGATACTATTCATGACAGTCTTTAATTCCCATTTTAGGTCAAATGTGTGAGGCTGGCCTCCTGGAGGCTGTGACTGAGAGAAGGAGGCAGCCGTGCCCAGATCTGGGGGAAGAATGCTTTCATCAAAGAGGAGAGAGAGAGCAAAGTCTCCGAGGAGGAAGAGAACCACCAGAGACGAGGGGACCCTGGTGCAAAGTTGGAGAAACAGGGAGGGCCGTATTACTCCAGGGCCTTGAGGGCTTGGTCGGACCTGGAGCCAGTTTGAGCGCTCACAGTTTTCTCTTTGGGCAATCTGGAATAGAGAATAGCAGAATGGATTTCAGTTTGGAACAGTCTCTTGAAAGGGAAGGGCGTTAACTGTGGAATTGGAGTAGGGGCAGGAGGCAAGACCTCCCCGGCCCAGGAATGAGAAGCAGAGAAAGTAGGTCTGCAGAGAAGGAGAAACAGCCGTGCAGAAAGGAGCCGAGACCAGGGAAGCAAAGAGAGAAAATCCTGATTGCTTTTAGCTTCTTTGTTCCAGCACCTTCCATGAGTCCCTGCTCTAATCCTTCCTTTAAACTGCATGAATGAACTGCATTCATTTAGTCAATTCGCCTTTCTTGCTCAAGCTAACTTGAATTGGATTTTATGACTTACAACAAAAAAGCTGTTAATCGATGCACATATAATTTCTGTGAGTTTGACGTTCTACGAAGCAAGTTAACGAAAATCGAGTCATGTATATGAGTCAGTCCCAGCTAAGAATCATTTTGCCAGATTTGGTTTCTTTGGTTTCTTCTGTGGGAGTAGCTAAAACACTGAAAGAGTAAAAAAAAAAAAAAAAAAAAAAAAAAGGGACAAAAAAGGGAAGGAAAACCCCTATGACCGCAACTAATTCCTTTCATATAAATATGTTTTTCGTATGTCCATAAAAACCCTTCTGTTTACATTCTATCCTCTTAGGCTTATTTTGCCCATATTTTTGAGATTTGATCACATCTTTGTCCCATAGCATTTCTCTTCCATCATGACAAGTTATTAATAATTATCAGGGATTTAAGTACATGAAAAATTAACCGTTTCTACTGCTGGGACCAGACTAAACATTTCTTAAAAGAGCCATAAATTTACTCTCATTCTTTGTTAGTCTTTGCATTATATTAACTAGAGAGCTGGGTTTTTGTTTTTTGTTTTTGTCACACTGAAAACCCATGTTTTTTCCTCCCTATAGGGAGAGCTTTCATCTATACCCCTGAATTTATTTTGTTAGTTGTTTCCTTCTGAGGAAGGAAGGAAACTTCTGAGGAAGTTCTTTCCTTCTGAGTCTTTTCTTTACCTTTTAATTAATTGATATGCTGAGAGTTCCATTTTACCTTGGGCCCCCATCCAAATCCTCCCCTTCTTCTAAGGCCTGGCTCAGATTTAATCTGCTGGAAACTTTTGATTGTTCCAACCTGAATAGATTTTTGCCTTCTCTGACTTGCCCTTGTTCTTATAAGCCCAACCACTGTGTTTAGAATGTAACCATTCCCGGGGCGCCTGGGTGGCTCAGTCGGTTGGGCGTCTGGCTTCTGCTCAGGTCACCATCTCAGGGTTTGTGAGTTCGAGCCCCGTGTCGGGCTCTGTGCTGACAAGTCAGAGCCTGGAGCCTGCTTCGGATTCTATGTCTCCCTCTCTCTCTGCCCCTCCCCCGCTCATGCTCTGTCTCTGTCTCTGTCTCTGTCTCTCTCTCTCAAAAATAATTAAACATTAACAAAAATTTAGAATGTAACCATTCCCCTCTCTCTCCTCCTTTAAAGTATGCATCCCCCCTGCCTTTTCAGTGAGGTTATACATTTTAGAGGATGAGATCTCGGTTTTTCATGCCTTGCCAGATAGGATTAGGTTTTGTTTCATAAAACAATACAGCCAAACAAGTTGCTGAAACAGAATGGAGACTGATGGCTTGTTAATGTAGAAGAAACATGGAGCTTGTAGTTTGGCGACGCCACGGTGGTTCCACCGGCATCAGAGACCCAGACATCTTGCTTCCCTTTGCTCGACCATCCTTCATACACGACTTCTCTCTTTCCTTGTGCCTTATTGTCCGAGCCAGCTGCCACAAGTCCGGCCATCAGGCCAACACTCCTAGCAGAGAGAAAGAAAAAGAGGGCTGGACAAAATGGCTACTCTAGAAGTCTCCCACAGTGACTATGTAGTTTTCCCATGACACTTGGCACTGTGCAAGTGTCATGCAGGGAGAACTCGGTATGTGCTGAGGACCATGCTCAACACTTTATAAATACCTTCTTCTGTATTTCACTCACTCCCTCACCATGGGGGATAGATATTATTGTCCTCGTTTTATGCATTAGTTATTTGAGGCTGGAAGAGCTCCGAGCTCCATCACCAGGAGCTGGCAGCATTAGGACTCAAAACCAGGTTTCCCTGACTGCAAAGGTGGTGCAATAGAATGCTCAGTGGCTTTTCCAAACTAGGTCAGGAAACATGAGATGAGGAATAATGGCACATATACTTTTAAGTGGGAAAGCGATAATTTGAGGAAATATCTTGTAAACGAATAAGTACTTAACTTAGGGATGGAGCACTAGGCACAATTCCTGACTCTGAGATCCTTTCTAGCTGGGTGTGCTAGAGTAAGTGATTTAACCTTTTTCTTAAGGATGCATACAATAGACCATGAAATATGGGATAGGCCTGCTGTAGGCTCAGATAAAGCATCAGCTTGTAGACAACCCCGAGGGATGGGAGTACGATCCTCTCGGAAGCCGTATTGTGTTGACATACACGTCCCTGTATTGTGTTGAATAGTACCCCTCCCTCAGTTCCTATACAACTGGCACCTGTGAGTGTGATCGCATTTGTAAATAGAGTCTCTGCAGATGTAATCAAGTTAAGATGAGCATATTGGATTAGGTGACCCCTAGATCCAATGACTGGTATGGTCATAAGAAGGAAATTTGGACGTAGACTCACAGAGAGATGTGAGAAGAAGGACGTGTTAGATAAAGGATCAGAGTGACACAGCTGTGAGCCAAGGAACATTAAGAAGGATGCAAACCACCAGAATCCAGGAGAGGCAAGGAATGAATCTTCCCTAGAATCTCCAGAGAATCTGACTTCTAGCCCCCAGAACTATGACAGAATAAATGTCTGTTTCTTTAAGTCGATAACTTTATGGTCATTTGTTACACCAGCCTTAGGAAACTAATATAGGTCCCCCAATAGACTCAATACCTGAGGCTGTGAACCAAACACTGAAAGATTGTCTCTCTCACCGTTACTCCCTGTGACCCACCCCCTGTGACTCTCTACCATGCCTCCTATCACAGCAGTTTGAGTTGCGCCAGTTTAGAAATCCTGGTTTCTGGGGTTGGGATGATGGTCGTTGGGTGGAGGTCCCACCAGGAGACATACTAGTTCCACTAAATGTAAAACTACAGTTATAACCTGCCTATTTTCGGCACCTCATGCCAGCGTTACCAATAGGAAAAGACAAGATCAATGATACTGATGGGTTCACCGATCCTGATTATCAGAAGGAGTTAAGGTTGTTGAAACAAAGAGGTCAGAGGGGAGCATATCCAGATCCTGAAGGAATCACACTATTGTATCTCTTGGTGCTTCCATGCCCTGTGAAAAGGGTGAACAAATAATAGTTACAATCATTGCCTGACAAGGGCAAGGCAACTTAGTAATGGAGATCCTTTAAGGATGAAGTTCTGGGTCACCCCATCAGGAAAGCTGTCTGGATCAACGGAAGTGCTTGCTGATGGTGAAGAAAATCAAGGATTGACTGTGCTGGAGGGAGAAGATGAATACCAATTAGTACTTGAAGACTTACCGTTTGTTCCACTAACTCTCTTGTACTTAGTACATGAAGAGATTGTGGCCGTTCACTGCCTTAAACAGAACTGAAATGTTGGACTTAACAGAGAGCTGAGTGATAGAAGGGGTGGACTGTATTGGACACCTTTTGTGAGCCATTCAAATCCACTCAACCTCATTTCTTTTTCCAGCCAACGTTGTAGAGCATGTTCCTTGTAGGCTTTGATTAGCTTTGCATGGGTGACACCTCTCTACACTTCTGCCCAGACCAACACTGCATCGCTGTTGCTTCTTTTCTCAAGGTTTTGTCGACGCCACCATCTCGGATAGTTGTTGAAATGTGCTTAACATGTATGTCCATGGGGCCACTCTTGACAAGGAGAAGGAGCCAATGGATAAATTTGTTGTCCTTCCAAATCTAAAGTGTGTAGCTTTGAGACTCATTTCACAATACCTTTCAGAAAGTCCCATGGGATTGAATATCAGATGTCCATCCTTGTGGTCAATTTAAGGTGCTGTATTGGAGCTTCCGCCTTCTCTTTCTCTCCCCCACTAACTTACTTCCTCTCTAGAGCGTTGCTTCCCAAATCAGTTACTTGTATGTCAGCCTTTTTCTCAGCCTCTGCATTTGAGGAAATACAAGCTATGTAAAAAGAGATTTAATATGTATTCTGCTGGAGGCATAAGTATCTGACAGCATTTTGATGTTGCATTGCTCAGAATATTTATAGTTTAGCAGAGTAAAACATCTATGTTCAAAGGACTGACTCCTCATATGCATTTTTTCAGACATCAGTGGCCCTTTGATAAAGTTCTTCTGCTTTGAGGGCTCCTACCCTTTTCAACCAAGGCCCAAGCCTGAACTGACTTATTTATTCTACATTCTTATCCATTTATCCTTAGGCTTTTAGCATTCAAGTAATAATGATGAATCCCAGGAACTTCTTGAGGAAGCCACAGCTTGAGGTAAAAATGCCAGAAACATAGGAATGTTAGAATTCTCTACTGCTCTTCCTGTCAGGTTTCAGAAATATGTACTTATATTTGGCCATCTGACCACTAATTTCATCCCAACAGGATTTCACCCATTTTCAGTCACTTTCGGGCTTCATGGAGAACAAAGAAAAAAAACCCCAAACTTATTCCTGGGGTGACTGCAGCTGTGTCATTAGTCTTGGGTTGATTTCACACAGAACTTAAAACTCTACATTAGTGTGGTTCCCACTGCTTTGCATGTGAATCGACTGTGTGAACTGACTTACTCCTATTTGTCACCAGGGAGAAGTGTACCTATTTTAATAATCCCTGAAATGCAGCCTGAGGAGGATGATGTCCCACAGGACACAGGGGTTGCCAGGCGGGGAAGTCCCAGCTTGGTGGATTAGACTGTTTTTATGATAAGACATCCCTTGGGGACTCTTAAAAAATATCCCATAAGAGATGGAAGAAACAAGGTTGGAAAGGGCCTGCATATGAGGAGGACTGGAAACATCCAGAAACATCTAGGAGGAAGAACTAGAAACATCTCCATTGTCCTGATTCATGTGATTCCCATCTGCCTTCCCCCCCACCCCCCGGCCCCAATATTGGGCTGAGAAGGCCTGTGTGAACCCAGGTCACGTTATTATTCTCCTGTTTATTTATTTATTTATTTTTAAATTTTTTTTTAACGTTTATTTATTTTTTTGGGACAGAGAGAGACAGAGCATGAACGGGGGAGGGGCAGAGAGAGAGGGAGACACAGAATCAGAAACAGGCTCCAGGCTCCGAGCCATCAGCCCAGAGCCCGACGCGGGGCTCGAACTCATGGACCGCGAGATCGTGACCTGGCTGAAGTTGGACGCTTACCCGACTGCGCCACCCAGGCGCCCCTATTCTCCTGTTTAAATGAGAACACTGAGGCATGCCGGGCAAGGTCACTGGCTTGGGGCCATTCAGCTGGCAAGTGGGAAGACAGACTATTACCCAGATCCTGCAGCTGGAAGCTGGCTGGGGTGTACCATTTCCCAATGTCTTCTCTTTCCTATTGATTTTGCATAGCTTTGATT